TTACTTTCAAACTAATTGTATGCATTTTTCTTTCTTTGCTGAGTGTTACTTTGTTAATTTTTGCATCTCCATCCCAGCTGTGTTATAGTCTGTGTCATTCAGCAGTTTAGGAGGATCTCATGAGTCAACTCGATATGAATACGAAAATGAAACTCCCAGAGATCCCTTTGCAGCTCAGCTCCTGCTCAGAGCCTGGGGCAATATAGTTATAATAAATATGAGGACATCATAATGAACAAATTTCATTGCAAAGTGAACCTGAGAATGTGCTTGTTCGCTTGAGCAGTGGAGCAGGAGCAGGAAAATCATCAGATTAAATAACCTAGTGGAGGACTTCTAAAAGCTGGCAACAGACAGTAAGAGTTATATGGGCGCTCTGTAACTATTAAGGTAGAAGAAGTTAACCCATGTCCTCGTAGCTCGTTGGTTTTATAGTCAGTTGTCCATCCCCTCCTTCCAGTTCCCCACTCTTATGTTACTTCTGAGGTTAGAGATGGAGCTAAGCAAAACAAGTGCAAATGCAGCTGATGGAACATTTTGCTCAGATCACCCTACTTCATGTTTTATGCCGTCTCCCAGCTTTATAGCTTTTAAATAGTAAAAAGTCAAAGCAGACACTGACTCAGTGTTTTACAACTCCCAAATCCTCTTATTGTTAATATTGTGATCTTAAAAAAAAAAAAAAAAACCCTTTCATTTATTCACTGCTTAAAATGGGCCTTCCAAAGTATCCACAGGAATACTCAGCCTCATCTGGGAGAGAGGAAATCCCAGGAAGTCCCCATGACAGCCCATTTCCCACCTCCCCAAACTGCTTTAAGTGTGGCCATGGCCTGCTGATGGATACTAGCCCGTGTTTATACATTGCATAGAAATAATTAATAATGTAACAGGGGTGATACTCTGAAGGGAAGCAATTAATCATGGTCTAAAAGGTGGCAATTCCTCCTCTAAATTGTTACCCACATGCGAGGCAGTGGCTCTGTCCCTGTGCTTCGGCACGTAGCCAAGGCAGCCCTCGGATGGCTAACATGCCAAAAGTCGGGAATTCTTCTTTGTTTGAAGTTCCCTGGTTTGGTTTTTGATGAGATAATTTGTGACATCCTCTTAAAATCTGTTAGCATAATTTTAGCTAGGTTATGTTTTTTAATATTTTATAATGCAAAGCCAATTTAAAAAGTATTCTAGGCCAGGCTGAGAATATTTCCTACTTTCTCTCTCTACTTCTTTTTAAGCTAGCTATTAAAGAAGGTGAGGCAGAGGAGAGGTTTGTTTAAATTACGGAGTAAATAATAGCTAAAAAGTTTCCTATGTTATTTGGAGTAGTGCTTTATTTAAAATAAAATAAAAACTCTTAAAGCAGAAATGCTTTCCTCTAGCAGTTCATTACACCCCTAAGGTTTTTTTCTCTTCATAGCCAGAATTTTAAAAAGTAGTGGTGGAGTGTAAGACCTCCAGGTTATGGCAGCGCTGCATCAGCGTTGCGGATATTCCCACCCTGTTTTCCATGTCCCTGTTTTGCAGTTGCTTCAGGTAAGCAGCGTTCCGGATGGGAAAGCTCATCCGCTCTTTGGAAGTTGACCCTTAGTTATTCCCAGTAAAACACTTAAACTGAAAATTCACCTGATCCTTGAGTTTCTTCCCTGGAAATGTGCTGTAATTTGGCCAACTTGTAACCATCACAAAACATCTCGCGTTGCGCATGTCCAATGCCCAACTTGCTGCCCTGCTTTAAGGTAGTTCCTCAACTTCCTTCTCTAAGAATACTTATATCCTTTTTCTCCACCAAAAAAAAAAAGTGTCCAGGAGGAATTTTTTTTCAGGAAATACCCAAAACTGCTCTGACGTGCATGGCAAGTGGAGGAGACTTAATTCTTTAAGACCTCGTGCGGGTGCCGCTGCCCGGCTGTGCTGCCGCAGCTGGCAGAGGGGAGCGTTGAGGTATAAATTCACTTTTATGGAAACACATGCGGTGAAACTCCAGAGTTTGTACAGCTGTAAAGCAGGGGATTTACTGCAGGGCAGGGAAATGGGCAGGCCCGATCCTTCTGCAGCTCAGCAGTAAATTTTATTGTGACAATTACGACTTTTATGAACTTCTGCCCTCGCTTTGCTTTCTCATGAGTTTTCCTGGATTAACAAAACATGTTTGAACCAAAATGAACCATTTAGGCTCGTGTTAGGACTGTGAAAATTAAACTTAAGTGTGCCGAAAATAATATATTAGTGATCTAAGTCTAATTTTTTTTTAGGTTTGTGCTTGAGCCCCTCCTACCAAAAAAGATGCATTCTAGGTCTCAAGATAAATTGGACAAGGATGACCTAGATAAAGATAAGAAAGAAAAGAAGAAGGAGAAAAGGAACAGCAAGCACCAAGAAATATTTGATAAAGAATTTAAATCTACGGATATTTCTCTGCAGCAGTCCGAAGCAGTGATCCTTTCAGAAACGGTAACTTTGATAGCAAGTATTACTTTATTTAGTAGTGAGCAATGTTCTTCCTATTACTTTATATAGTAGTGAGCAATGTTCTTCCTATTTTTAAATAAAAATGTTGAATTTTGCAATTAAGTTCATTTTTTAAGGTAAAAACAGCACTGCCTGTATATGTTATGATGTTAATATAGTTCATAATCAATAGTTAAGATATAAAAAAATCAAGATGTATTATTTGAAAACCCACCAAAAGCTACATATGCCTGTTCAGTAGAAGGAACAAATAATATATCTGAAGTAAAATAAATGCTGCCATTTTAGCAGTTTCTTGAAGTTATGGTTTCCAGTAGATTGTGATGGGTTTGCTCGTGTTTCAGCTGACTACTGCAAGACACTTTCTGGTGGAAATGTTATAAGGTCATTTCATGCATGGAAATTATGTGTTCTTGAAAGGCTATTTTGAGCAGAAAATTGGGAGCAGTTCCTCTGGTGGCTGTGTGTAAGGATATTAACTATAGAGTATATCTCTCTTAAGCCTTCTCTTCCTGGCATGTATCTAATTCTCTGAAACTGTCCTAAAGGCTTAGGTAACTTTAGAAGTTTTACTTCTTAAATGGAAAGCAAGTCCCTTGAAGCTGGAGCAGCGATGTATGAACTTCTAAGTGTATCTGTGAAGCTCATGAGTGCGCTCTTGTTTTAGTGGCAGTGTATTAAAAACTTGCCCTCAAGAAATAATGGGAATGGTCTCGTAAGGATTTGCATGTGTCCTCTCACAGCAGACTTTTAATTCAGCACAGTCTTTCACTGGTGGCCGTAGCATTTGCCCTGGACTTTTGAAGCTACTCCTCTTTGAGCAATCACTCGTGAAACTAGCCCTATTTCTTGGTATTAGCTTAGCAAAAATGTGTATAAAATTCGTTGTGCATTTCGGGAGATTCACCCAAACCCTTCTGAAGTCGGTGACAGATTTTCCTATTGATGTCAGTAAATTTGGGATCAGTCCTGATGTCCTGAAGTGGAGATTCCCCCTGCCAAGCCAAGTCAGATGAGCATTGCGAGAACATTTTCAGAGAGAAAATAAATTTTGCATGAATTTCTATGTCTCATCTTTTTGGCAGCGTGCAGCGAGCTCTGGAGGTGCATTGCATCAATCATATCTTGACTGACCTCTAAACGTAGCCTCTAAAATGCTAAGAGTGCACTTACACCTCCTGGATTCCCAAACCTAATAGCAGAGGGAGAAATAAGAGAAAACTGTAGGAGAGAAATAGAGGAAATTTGACTTTTGGAGCAGCTAAAGCAGATAGGCTTGCAAGAGTCCATTGGAATAGCCAGGACACCTCCAAGGATGCTGGGGAGCTGGCTGATGTCCTTGCAAGGTCACTGTCATCATCTTTGAAAGGCCTTGTGGATCAGGGTAGATTCACAGCCTTGAATGCCAATCTGGCCTGCACACGTATTCAGGAAGGGTCCCCTGGGGATCCGCAGTTCAGCTGCACTCACCTCAGTCCCTGGGACAATTACGGAGCAAACGCTCCTTGGGGACATTCCCAAACATGTGAAAGACAAGCGGGGGATTGGAACAGCCAGCCTCAGTGTACCAAGGGCAGATTCATTTACTTTTGGACACTCACCCTCTTGGATCTGTAAATTAGCAGCACTCCCTGAGTCTTATCCCTGTTATTTCTCAACAAATTCCTATCTTTATTCTTATTAATTTTAACTCTTCCCTGTCTGTGCAGCATGTGTTGTAAAAACAGTATCATCAGAAAAAATGTTTTCAGGAATTTTAGAAATATGATGACAGGCTGTGTAAAGATAAAATGTGACTTGTCTCAGCGTGGCTGCATGCTGGACAGGTATGTGTCCCATCATCGTCCGTGGGTTAAAACTCAATGTTTCCATCATTCTGCTTTTGTGAGGTGCTTTGTATCCAAGTTTCCGTTTAAGGTTAAACTACCCCAAAGTGCTGTTACCCAGAGTAATATTGCTGCTGTGCTTTATAAACAAAAATTTAAGGCGCTTGGGTTTCTCATGTCACGGGAGAGGTGCAGCAAGCACGTTGGGCAGCAGGTAAGATTCAGGCACTGCCCTATCTAGATTTATACCTTAACTACTTTTTTTTTTTTCCCCAAAAAATGCTGTATTCATATGAATCTTCCAACTGTTCAGAGTCCAACCCTTAATTGCAGAGATCTTGTACTGCTTTGATCTTATCAAAAGATAAATTAAACTCTTTGATATACAAAGATCATCAGTGAAGTCTTTATAGTTTTCTAGCAACATACATCTTCTTTTAAGTATCAGATACACTTCTTTAATGTAAATTCCCGTTGTTGATTCTTTCACTCTGTGGGTTCATAACAAATCTCATACTGGGGCCAGGTAGGTAACAGACAACTCAAAAGCTCATGTTAGAAATGAGAATACTGGGCTGTATATTTTATTGATTTAATGACATCTAACACCGCTCGCTATTGACCCTGCTTTCATTAGAATAAAAAACATCAGCAGTGGGTTCTCTATGGATTAGCAGCCTCCTAAGGTCTGAGTAGCTACAGCTCATACTCTCTAGCAAAACCGTAATTGATGTGAACCTGGGAGATGAGGACCAAGCTTATCAGGATCACGTAAAATTTAAAGTTTGCTTGAAATCAACAGCCGTAGAGCAGAATGACTTATGAATTTGATCTCAAGTTCCATTGTAGTCGTCATTTTTCTCTTGATTCTGGAGTTTCAGGTTGCCCTACCAATTAGTCCATTTTTCTTTGTTGCATTTTTGTAATTATATACCTCTGAGAAGTGAATACAGCGCTTATCCATTTCATGAAAACTCTGTTCTAAAAGATCGTGCAAGAAGAGACCTTTGGAGTCAGGCCTCAGAGATACAGACCATAGAGGGAACACATCTGTTAGGGTTTGTGTCCTGAAAAGATGAGGTAACATTTGCTCTAAATTCCTCCTTCTCAAAAGACTTTTCGAAAAAATAAAATGTAAATTGAGAAAACTGCTCAAAAAACAGGAGGAGCTGCTGCCAGTTTCCATTTTGTCCTGCTAGGATAGCTCAGCTCTCCTGCCCACAATCTCAGCATCAGGCTTGACCCCACTTGCTGTGATCTCCTGGTAAAGAGACTTTGACAAACCAGGCACTTGCATATGAGGCTATGGACTTATTTAGCTCTCGTACACTTTAAGCCAATGTTTGGGGAATTGCCTCATTGCTTCAGAAAAATATGCCAGGCTAAGGCAAGGTGTCTGCATTAAGCCTCATTGCTATTCCTGAGAAGAAGGGAAAAACATTTGAAGCTGTGAAATACTGCGTTAAATCACAAGTATTGAAGGTGATCATTGCCCTGCTAGACTTTGGGCAGTGCTGGGGAAACGGAGCAGTTGCTGCTGGATTCCTGTTCTGCATGACCTTGAGGAGCTGCCAACGCGCCGCCCGTGTCTGCTTGTGCTCTGGGCCGTGCAGGAGGGAAACGATTACAATTTCTCCTGGGTTTTATCCATCTGCAGATCAGCCCGCTGAGACCACAGAGACCAAAGAGCCAAGTCATCAACGTGATGTCGAGCGAGAGGCGTTTTTCCGTGTCTCCTTCGCCGCCCAGCTCTCAGCTCACACCGCCCCCGATAACCCCACGGACAAAACTGTCCTTCAGCCTGCAGTCCAGTAAGTTTGGGTTTGCTGCATTCTAACTAGATTCACAAACTCACAGAATCTCAGAGCGCTTGGGGTTGGATGGGGCCTCTGGAGATCCCAGTCTAGTCCAACATCCTGCTCAAGCAGGGTCACCTGGAGCTCTTTGCCCGGATTTGTGTCCAATCCATGTTCCAGGAGAGGATACGGTTCCTCAGCAGGACGTTCCTAAGGACAATAACTTCCTACATCTTTCTACAAGTTCCTCATACATGAATCTTTTTATAGTGCTCACTCATACAGCCATATTTCTGCAAACAGATTACAATTTTATGAGCTGGATAATTATTTCAGGAAATGTGTTAGTATTAAGATCTCTTTTTTCATTAATATTTCTCTTCAGAAATTCTCAACATCTTGGGTTTCAGTGCTTTCGTTTAGTCTTTGTACCATCAGCCATTTAATATGACTTGCAGACACAAGAATTTTCCTCTCAATGTTACACTTCTTGCATTTCTTAACTAGCAAAAAATATTTCAATATGTTACAAAAGCAAGAAAAATTGTTGTGTTGTGTTGTGTTTCTTTCCCTTTTCAAATAACGATTAATTATTACTTAAATAGATGTCCAAAATTGGTGTGGTACTTGGACCTAAAAAGAGCTTTTATTTGCTCTGTAGTGAATGCAAGACAGAGAATAAAATGTCTGTGTTTTGCAGCTATTTTCATTTGACATTCCGACATCTGTCGCTCAGCTTTTCTGTAAAACACTGTATGCTTGGTTCAGTCTTTTGGAAACCTATCACAAAACTAAGTGTATTACAACACTTATTTCTTTTACAGCGTTCTTTTCCAAAGCTGACTTTCAGAGCTCTCTGTTTCTGCCACTCGACACACACACACTCATAAAAATTGATCTTTCTGATACATGTACCAACTTCCCATACAAGAGACCAGAGTTACGTGTTAGTAAAGAGCAGTTTAGATGGTCAGCTTTAAGAAAACAAATATTGTTTGCTCAAGTTCACTTTTCTAATTTGTTTTATATATATATATATATATATATTTACACATTTTCTTTAAATATTCAGCATTTTGGAAAAATATCATCACAGCAAATAGCAAATACCTGTGCTGTGAGCAGGGACGTGTTTGTTGCACAGCCCTGCAGCAACAGAGTTGGCCTCCAAGTGCTGGGCCCTTTCTGTGCTGGTTTCACATTACTGACTAGAGAGCTAATGTGGGGGAGGAGAAGCAAGTACAAATCAATGCAGCATCTCCTTGGCGTAGGCAGACACCCAAAGCAATCGTCTTGATAGGTGTCAACTTTCTTTCCAGTTTTGATATACAAAAATCACCTGCATATTAAAAACTGAAAATACAGAGAAAAATTAACTGTGTATATTCCTGTAAAGAAGATTCTTTGAATAGGATTATTTCTTCTTGTATTTGTTAAAACTAGCAATTTCTTTTTTAAAAAAGGTATCGGAAACTATCATATATTTCGGAGAATATTTGTCTTGCTCTAGAGATTTATGTTATTTATGTGCAATTTATCTATATGCAGTATAAACGCTTTTGCTGCAAAATGCATGGGACCTTTCCGTAATTGTTTGCAGAAATATAGTACTGAAATTTCTAGCAATCCCACATTTACTTTGGTGCAAGAGTCAGCCACTTTCAGTTAAGGGCTGCTGAGCGATTCTGCTTGCTTGCTAGTGTAGGAGAATGGAGTACAAAATTTGGTCATTAGGTTAAGAGGAAAAAAAAGTCATCTAGATAATGTATATTATTATTAACTATTTGTGTGGATGGAAATATTCTGCCCATAATTACAGGGTTTCAGTGCTCTCTTGCAAAGGAGTCAAGTTGTGAAACTTGCTCATGTGTCTTAGCATGGAGCTGCCGAATGTCAGCCTCAAATATGCAGGGTCAGCATTAAGATTTAGCTCTTAAGTAAACCAGGTCTTTGTGTTCTCAAAAAATAACTTTTTTTTT